CGGCGGAATGGGTGAGGACATAGACGTCACGTTCATAAATTTTGTTAAACTGTGCCTCCTATCTCGGAAGTAGAAAATAGGTGAACGAGCTGAGATAGTGAAAGTCATATTTAAGTGAGCTGATCGGGTTCTATCAGTAGAATCTGATGATGGCAAATGGTAGCTCTCATACATAAGAAAGCATTCCAGCCCGCTGGTCATGGTTATCATGATAGGTTATCGGTCTAACTAGAAAATCCTCGCCGCGTATGCAGTGGATGATAATGAGGTGGAGTTGCGAAGCATCTAACGCATTCGTCCGTTTCACCCCTTGTGTGTGTGCAAGACGACTAAATATGGGCTCGGGCGCAGTGGCTGACAACACCTTCACTTCTATCGTTCGCGTTCAACACAGTTGCTGATTACACAGCCAATGCAAGACGGATTTCATTCAAGCAGATGCTTGCTGTCCTAAAGCCCCAATAGAAAGGAGGTCTTCTTGCTGCATATCGAATTATCTCGCCAGTTAGCAAGCCTCGTGCAAAATGTCTAGAGGTCCTGAAGAGGCCCCAATGGCAGCAATAAGAAACAATAAGAATGAACTAGGTAATACAAGTTCGTAAGGCGTGGGGAGACAGGTGTACAAAGTTTGAACATGCAGTACCTGGTGATACCGAACTCCTTGGCGCCAGGAATTGACGGGTAGCGCGGTCTCTCTCCTGTTGCCAGAGCAATGGTCCTGGCAGTGATATTTTTGACAACACCCGTCTTACTGGTGGTCTGAAAGCAGCAGAGAAGAGCAGCAGATGAAACAGAGGAAAAATAAAATGCACACAAATTTGATGACAGGATTTCGTGAACAGCCACCACAGGAGGGCCTAATTCTTGGCAGCGTTCTGACACGTGCATAAGGACAACGAAAAAATAATCACCACAGGACGGCCTGTCAGTTTTACTTTAATAGTCAGCGATATAAGACACTAGCCTCGGTCGTAGCGTCGAGGAAAACAGCAGACAATGAAAAGGGGTGGTAGGGCTGCAGTGTGATACAGGGCAAAAATTTGTTCTGACAGAGGGTATTAGAAGGAAACTAACCTTCACCGTGTGCGGATTGATAATTTCACCGAGAGCGTTCAAGTAGGTAACCTTATTGGAAATCATGAGCGATCGGTAGCCGAAATTAAGAGAATGGATATGCTCCTGTATGGCGCCAATCATGGTTCCCCAATCGTGGTTTACTAGAGGAAGGGGGAGAGCGCAGAGGGGATTAGATATAAAGTAAATGAGATCAGATACAAAAGCGAAACCTTGGCTAGAAATCGCATCAGAAAAAAATAATGTGACATTCCAAATATTTAATGCACCTCATGAAAAGCTAACTGAAATTTTGAAATGTGTTGCTTAGGTAGGATTGTTATGTTGGTAAGCGTGCAGCGTAGTCTTAAAATGTTTCAGACACGCCAGGATTTGCTTTTATTCGACGTTTTCAAAAACTACACTCATTAAAAAAATGCACTACCTAAACATTATGCATTTTCAAACTGACTACCGACGCTCTTATAAATTTTTAAAAATTTCGGAAAAAGTGCCAACGATTTTTTTCACTGTACTTATTTTGCGGTGAATCCAGTCTTTTTCGAAGTTCGCGATTCAATGAAGGACATTCTTCGATCATAAAAGATCTTCAAGCCCTGAACAATTTCAACAGCGAACTGTTGATGTTCTTGTGTTTGGGGTCTTTAGATCACAAGCTGCATACTTACCGTGTAGAGAAAACGACAAATCTCTTTATGCTAATAAAAGATACGATATTGGGCTCACACATTTTGCAATGGTTAGTAGACCACATTGTACACATAAGGAGGATTTATAAACGGACATGTAAGCTGTTAGTTCAAGGGTCTTGAAAAATCTCATAATTACAAACGTCTTTTAAACCGAAAGCCGTTACTTCTCTTTGGATAAAATTTGGAGGAAGAATACTTTTGCGCATGTTTAGTAAAAAACTACGTCCGAATTTATAATGGCAGTCTTTTAGACGGCTCAGTATTCCAGAGTAACACACACGTCAATTCCAAATGCAAACAACAATTGATGTAGCATGGTACTACGGTAGTCGCTAAAGACCATGCAACTTTCATGATGAAATTTGACTGGGTACTTTAGCGTATATTTAGTAACACTATTTTGATTCATTCAGTTGATTAAATTTTTCGAAAGCCCTTTAGGTAGGAAAATTATCAGTTTAGTTAGGTTTATTAAGAGAAATGGCCATTAATTTTGGGAAAATTGGGAGCAGTCTCAGATCGAAGGAATTTTCTATGCTATAACGAAAGAGAGAACCAAAATGCATATTAACGTTGATTATACTATGAAGGAACTCCAAAATAAGTAAAATAGGTATAGAAGAT